AATTTAAATAATTGTTCGATTACTTTCATTTTGAATTTATTTAAATTTCATTTAATATCTAATATAATACGACATTATTATTTTTACCCATCGAACTTTTGTATCGAAAAATATAAATTATACATGAAGATATAAAATGGTTACTATAAATATTAAAAGAAAATTTCTATTTAAACCTCGTACATCACCTTATCGATTTCGATGATCGTGCGAATCTCCATTGATAAATAAACGAAAGGTAAAGAATAGAATTCCAGATCAAGGTTTCAACGGCGCAAAAGCACGACGTTTAAAAAGGTGCGTTTCTTCTTACGCAATATCTTATATCGAAACCGATTTAATCGCATTCTATAAATCGCATTCTCTCAGGACTAGAAAAACGTTTTATTGTAAACAAGCCAAAACGAAAATAAAAGAGAAGAAAAAGAATAGAATAGAAAAGAATCGAAAAGAATGGAAAAGAAACGTTAAGAGATTCACACGATACATACAGAAAGACATACAAGGCAGAGGGAAAGATACAGAAAAAGAGACACGAAGAATCGAACGAAAAAAGAAAAAAGAAAAAAAAAAAGAAAAAAAAATATTCAACGACGACGAAGAAAAAAAACTACGACGGAGCGAGGTAAGATATTCAAAAAATAATAAAATAAAATAAAAATTTTAAATACAAATTAAAAAAAAAAAAAAAACAAAAGAGTAGAGCGGGAATAAAAACAAGGGGAACAAGACAGTGTGCTGAGAGATATTATTAAAATAAATGAATAAATAAATATAAGTCAATCAATAAATAAATAATAATAATATACATAAATATGTACGTCACATACATAAAGGATGTACAAAGTGATCGACGAATTGTCGAAGGGGAAAATAAAAAAAGAAAGAAAAAAAAATAGGACTGTGGGGGGGGAGAAGGACGAGGGAAGAGAGAGAGAGAGAGAGAGAGGAAAAAAAAAAGAAAAAACGACCAAGAGTAGCGCTTTCGTGCGTGTCTCTTTACCTGCTGCACGTACCACTGCGTGGAATTTTGGTTCTTCCTTTGGCTCGGCTTGCAGGGTGCGCAAAGAAGAAAGGGTGCCAGTTTGTTGACCCCCTTAACACTGGCCGCCGGCGGGGGCGACGTTGGGCTTAGCCCGTCATCCCCCAACACGGGCCACAGCATCCACGTCCTAATATCTCTCGAACGTCTTTCCTCCCCTCCTTCTACTCCTCTTTTTCCTCTTCACTCCTTCTTCCCCTTCTAATCTCTTTATTTTCTCCTCTAATCAGTACTACTTTCTTCCACTCCCTCGAAAGAATATTTTTTTTTTTCGAAAGAGAGAGAGAGAAAGAGAGAGAAAGAGAGAGAGAGAGAGAGAGAGAAAGGAAAAAAATAGAGAGAGAGAAAGAGAGTAGAAGAGCGAGAAAGAAAGAAAGAGATACTCTCTTTCTAATCACGTCGATACGTTCAAAGTATTATCATCGATCTGACTAACACATTTTTCTTTGAATCTTCTTCTCAGATAAAATTCATGGAACGATCTGCAGCAAATTAGGGATTCGTGTGAGGTTTAAACACCTTCGTAATAAAAGATTATTACTGACGTAATCGTTTCTTCGTTCTCAGAATTCTTTATCGGGTTTAATCAATTTTCATAGAATTTTCTATGAAAACAAACAAATTGATTATTTTTATCTACTACGGGTGTTTTCATCGTTCGACTGTAACAAAAGACAAGAGACACGATAAGAGGGAATATCGACGAAAAGAAAAAAAAAAGAGAGAGAGAGAGAGAGAAAGAGAGAAATATATATTAAACGATGTAACAACGTCAAGAATAATAATATTTACTAATTAACGTTTTTTTCCTAAAAATCGAAATCTACATTCGAGAAATCGATATTTTTAATTAAATTGAACCTTCTATATACATATGTGTGTGTGTGTGTGTGCGCGCGTATGTGTATATATATATAGTCTCGTTACCAACGAGATAAATTCAGATGCGTACAAACGGATTGTACGTAGGATGGAACATGAAGGAGTTAATGAAAACGATATTCCCGTTACGATATCGATTTTCGATAAGTAGTCGATTAATTAATATCAGAAGGTCGTAACTTTCAATTGACGATGGTGATTTTCTTCGTGTGTTTTTTCTCATTAATTAATTTCATTTTCATTCTCAACTTAGGGAATGAAGATCTTTTTCGCCGAGAAATGATCGACATAGTTAATCCATATAAGACCTTTAATCCTTTTATTCTCGTGGAAAAAAGAAAAAAAGAAAAAAAAAAAAAAAAGAAAAAAGAAAAAAGAAATAAAAAGAACGAGCAATAATCGTCTCATATTTAATATCTACATTAAATTATTCTTAAATAAATAAAAATCTTTGATATTCATATCAAATCGATTCATTCGTATCGAATTTGACATTCGTTCGTATCGCACGAATAAACAACATTTAAATGTATGAAAATTAATCCGTGAAATTTACTTCTCCTTCCATTTCGATAATTTAGCAAAAGACCATTTTTAGTATGATTTATCATTAAAAATACGTCGTTTAAAGATAAAGAAATTAAATATACATATATATGAAATTTATATATACATATATATATATGTATATATATATATATATATCGATAAATATGTAACGTTCGGATCGTGACTATCTATTTTAAATGGGGACAACTTGTTGATGATAATAATAATCGATATGTCATTAATTAAATATATTTTTTCTTTTCTTTTTTCCTCTCTTTTTTTTTCTTCTTCTTCTTTTTGTTTTTCTTTCTAGAGAATTAGATATCGATACGAGAGAGAAAGAGAGAGAGAAAGAGATAGACAGAAAGAGGATAACTTTAATAAAATTATTAATAATAAAATCAAAGTAAAAATTAATATAAAATTAATATAAAATTAATAATAAAATATAATGAAAATAAATTAATTAAATAAAATTAAAGGAGAAACTTTATACAAAGAAACAAAATCAGATTCGTAACATTCTATAAAATCATGTCACCTAAAAAGATAAGATTGCTTTTGAAAATAAGGAATATAAGAAGAAAAGAAAAGAAAAGAAAAGAAAAGAAAAGAAAAGAAATGTGTAAAATAGATGTGAAAGAATGTAAGAAACGAAAATAGGAGGGAACGCGTACGATAGGATAAAACGCAAAAAGATCGAACAAAAGTTCTCAACGATAAAAGTGTCGGTGTCCGTCGACGCCTCGTTTCGATAAAACTCGAATAGCCTGTCACGACTTGTCACAAGAGAGAAAGAGAGAGAAAGAAAGAAAGAGAAAGAGACACAGAAGCATGTAAATATCAAGCACACTATGTATATGACGGACTTTAACGAACCCCTGCAATTAAATTTCGTCTCGGTGATGAGAACGACCGATATTAATTAAAACGACACGACGAGCTTGCATGTTATTTACGATAATAAAAAAAAAAAAAAAGAAAAAAGAAAAAAAAATTGCAACGAGCTATTTTTTCAATTGAATTCTCGTATAGGTTGATTTTTAAAAAGGAACAATTTCGAAGCCTATTCCTATTTGTTAAATTGATATTTTCAAATATTTCTTAACAGTAAATCTAATATTTCATTTTATTGCGTCAGTCTGATAAATTAAATATAAAAATTTTAATAAAAAGAAAAACAAAGAAAAAAGAAAATGATGTGCGTGCCAGGTAAGTTTCTAATTATCTAATCTTAATTATTGAAAGATTCTCATAGAAAATCTCTTCTTTAACATTTAATCACTCTATGGGAAAAATATTATCTTCGTGATAAGAGTACGCATTTATATTTAAACGTATATATATATATATAGTTATAGTTATAGGATAGGTTCGAGATATATATATGTATATATATATGTGTGTATATGTGTAAATACATAACGATGCAACATCCTGTCAACGGTATTCTGACGTGTATTAATTTCATTAAAAACTAACGATAAATATGACGCCAAAGAGTGACTAACGTTTCCTCATACGATGATAATTGTATTGTACTTTACCCGGTCACCGAACGCCAAGAAGCACAACCAATATGTTTATATATATATATATATTTTTTTAGTTATATATATATATATATATATATATATATATATAAAGCAAACAGACTAACTACAAAAAAGAAAAAAAAACAATTAAAATAATTCCCCCTCCGTGAAAATCATTTGACCAAGATTTATATTTATACAAAAAAAAAATATATATATATATAAACATATTGGTTGTGCTTCTTGGCGTTCGTATAATTTTTTCATATTAGCTAATTTATATTCATTAAAAAAATAATATATATATATATATATATATATATATATATATATACGACTTTCTTATCATTTGATCTCTAATTGTCATCAATCTTCATCTTCATTTTTTTTCTTTAAAATAACGTACTTTCTCACTTATGCATCTCGAAGATAAACAAGACTGGCGAAGAGGAGACGACAAAAAAAAAAAAAAAAAAAAGAAAAAAAAGAAACGAAAGAAAGAAAAGAAAAATATAAGGAAAGAAAAAAAGAATTTAGAACGTGTTGCAGGTCGAAAAAAAGAGCGAAAAAATTTCGCAATCTGGTACGCTGCGCGAAAGAAATAATTTTCCCTGGAAAGAAACGAGGGCAGAGAGAAGTCCGCGAGATTTGCACGAAAGCGTTTCTCTCCCGAGAGTCTGTCGTCTAATGGCAACCCCCTCTGTGTTTTTATCCGTCCCTCACCTCCTCCCTAACATTTCTCACTCATTCGTCGTCATATACACAAGCGACTTTCTTCGAGCGTACCATAATCTTTCGTGTTCTTATAGGCTTGTGTTTTTATTTGTATTTTTATTTGTATTTGTGTTCGTTTATGTCGTTGTAATGAGAATTATGCTTCGTTGACACTCGCTAACAGATTAATCAAAACATTCTACCTATTCATCTTATCATGTTATTTCTTTCATCAAGTTAGTACAATCCTTTTATTTATTCTCTATTTTTTTTTTTTCTTTTTTTCCTTCTTTACAAGAAAATATTTATACTTTTCCGTTTTCATCTGGATTATTTTCACTTTATTCCACGTAAATATTTTGTTCCGACAACAACAACAAACTGTAGATTGAAAAAGTTACATTGAAAAATAAAACGGAAATTGTTCGAATAAATTGGACATAGGACAACGAACGAAGGAATTACGAAAATTTCTTCTATTCTTTTTTACTTAATACATTCATATATTTCTTGGAAACAATCCAAAGGTAAGATTTTACAACGATTTGAAACAAACTTAAAAAAAAATAAGAATTTGAGAAAAGGATATTCTTAGAAACAGAGGATATCCTTCGAACAAACTCTTGTCACGAACTTCGTGCAGATTTACTTGAAAAAAAGAAAATAAATAAATAAAAAGGAAAAGAGAGAGAGAGAGGGAGAGAGATAGAGAGAGATAGAGAGAGATAGAGAAAGAGATAAAAAAAAAAATCTTTTAGTTTGTTATTAGCATACTGGTTGAGAAAAATATTCCAACCTTGAGGAGAATCTCCAGGTATTTCCTTCAAATTCTCTGAATCTCGACTGATTTACAAAACAGGACTATTTCGTTCGTCAGATATTCTTAGATTTCATCGTGATACGTTCCTACGATTTCACCACACTCATCCCTTTAACACCCATCACCCTGTAGTCTGTAAATTCGATCGATTCGATATTACTATTTTATTTTATTTCGAACTAAACGTTTACAAATCGAACGTTACATTTTATAAAATCTATACCTCGATATTCATCGAAATACCCTACTTACACTTGAATAATCCTAAGTAGGATGCACCAAAAGAAATAAATCTGAAAATATGGAATCCATCCAAAACGATGTAGGACTATCGAACATCACGACTAAAAAATTCTTTGTCGTGTCCTTAATCAGATTTAATCGAATTATTCATGCGTATTTTCTTTTTTTCTCTTTTTTACGATAAATACAAATAGGTACGTACGTACGTACGTACATATGTATGTATGTATGTATGTATGTATGTATGTATGTATGTATGTATGTATGTATGTACGTACAATGTTCGTTCATAAGTATTTCGTCCAATCTGAACCATCTTTCTTTTTCCAATTCGATAAACATATATATATATATATATATATATATATATATATATATATATATATATATACATATATATATATATATTTCATCATTTTTGTTAGATCCCTCCGAGATTATTAAAAATTCATGATCCCATCCTGGCAACATACCAGACTCACCTTGGATCTAGTCTCAAAGTTATTCTAAGTAGTATCATATCAATTAAGTGCTAACGTATTGTCGACGTACTAAACATGCTTTGCTCAACTAAGTTTTCTAATCTATACACGAACTATACGTTGTTAACGATATTACGTTAATGTGAGCTATGTTTCCAGATGAGATCTATGTGTATGTATAGGAAAAAAATAAAAAAAAAAATACAAAGAAGAAAGAAGAGAAAAAAAAAAGAAAAAAGAAATGTTGCAAACTCCACGTCGAACGTTCGTCCTTGTTTTATTTATGTTCGTATCACCACAGATGCCTCTTTCCTTCCATCCCATCCCATTCCCAAACCCCTTAACCACCCTTTCCACCTTCTCGAAAGTGAATTAGTTTAGAAGAAGCAATCAAAATCACAAGGTGTACGACGCTAGTCAATCCAACTAATGATCCGTAAACTGTTCTAGTAGATAAATAGGCTAAGGCCTTGTTCGATGATCTTGTTCAACTTTTTCTCTTTGACAATTCTACTTACACATTTATCATATACATATATATATATATATATATATATATATATATATGCATACACACACATCCAAACGTATAATAAGTAATCTCGCAAATCGTTTAACGGATTAGAAAACGTGTTAGAATAAATATATTCCAATAAAATGAATCTAATGTTACGAAGAGTTTTCTTTTTCCTTTGTTTTTCTTTTTTTCTTTTCTTCTTCTTTTTACTTTAATTTTTTCGGAGAAAAAACAAAAGAAAAGAAACTTAAATAAACAAAGTGAGATTTTTTATTATTTATTGCAAAACCGCGTAAGATTTGTAGGGGAAAAAAATGTATTTCATACGTTAACAGAGAATTAGAAAATTTTTATTATCTTTACGATAATAAAAATTATTGCAATTTCAAAAAAAAAAACCTTCGAATTATTTTCAAATAATTAAAAAGAATGAACGTTCGAAAGATAAACTTGTACAAAGTAAACATTTGAAATATGTTTATAAGAAGTGTCTTATACGAAAAGTTTTTGTTTGTTTGTTTTTTTTTTTCTCATAATGATTATAAATCGTACGAATTAATTAATTAGAAAAGAACATCATGGAGACGTTTGAAATCATCGAATCATCGAATCATCGTTTTAATTCATTGATATTCATTATTCATATCGATTATCTAATTCTTAAATACATTAAAATAATAAAAATATATAGAATAACGATGTCAAACTATAATCGTTCAAAATTAATCAATTTAGTCTAATAATAAAATAATCTATTTAATCGTACGATATATACGTATATATATAAATATACATACAATATATATAAATAATAGAAATGTGATCAATGATCGAACGAAATATTGTTTAAGAATGAATCTTATATCATTGTCATGTGTATTAATAAGATTCTTTTCTTTTTTTTTTTTATCACAGATATTCGTAAAAAATAATGATACGTTTTACGAAAACACGTGCGCCCGTGTCTCGTACAGCGTTACATTGTAGCGAGATATTAGAGTGAGCCTGACCGCTTCGGGGCACACGTGTCAAAAAACGTAAATACGTATATACGTAAATGTAAAGAGACAACACTAAAACGTAATATTATTGAAAAAATTTTCTAAATAATTATATATCGTATATTACGTTTGACTAAAGATTTTTTTTGTCCTCCCCTGTAGATTAATCTTCTTGTAAATTTATTAATTAATTAAATTATTCAATCGAATTATTTTTCATTGAACAATAATAATGTTAAAAACAATGGATTCAAATAGAATATATAATTCGTAACATTGAAATATTATTAATTTGACAAAATTATATGTCAGATAACGCGAAATGCGTAAAAATCAGTCCGTTCCACTTAAAAAGTCTTATCTATCGATGACCCGACTCTTTAATCCTAATTCAAATCCTATTTATACTGTGAAAATCTAATAACACGTAAGTCGTATTATATCGCGTATCGCTCGAAAATCGTATACATACATACGTACATACAACATACAATAAAAGTTCGATAAGAAAGGACATATTCAAAAGGAAGGGAAGAAGGATCGTTCTTACCGTTACAGAAAAATCTAAACAATATTTCGAACAATGGTATATATATATATATCTCAAATCTTTTCGTACTGTGAAACGATGAAAACGTATTTCGAATGTATATTTCTCTTAAAAATTTTCTTTGGGGATCGTTCAAAATTTCATCTTTGAAATTTCAAAGAAGAAAATAGATAAATAAATAAATAAATAAATATACGAATTGAAGGCAAACAAAGATTCGTCAGTTTCAATACTTGTAGATCTCCATCGAAGAAACGATCGCCAGATGTTAACCGGTTTCTACCTTTTACAATCCGATCCTCGGACTCTCTTTTCTCTCTCCCTCTTGTCTAAGGAGAATGTGTATATATATATATGTGTGTGTGTGTGTGTGTGTATTGTGAGAATGAGAGAGAGAGAGAGAGAGGAGTAAAGAAAGATCGAAAAAGAGACGCGAAGTTGGCGTCGGTCAAATTCCTTCAATAACGAATGTATTCACTTAAAATTCACTTGAATCTTTTTTAAACGACGAATTTACGTAAACGTTGATGATACAAAAATATAATATAAAAAATAACGAGATCCTATCGGATGAAACGCGTGATGATTATTCGATCGTCCATTGAGAACAAACAATGATAAAGTACACGACGCGATGTCACGGCAACGACTGACGCCGCCGGCTGACGAGAGATCTCGACGCTGGAGGGAGTCAAAACGAACCGGCCCGAATAAAGCCGAGTCGAATCGAAGTTGAGTCTCATAAATATAAGCCGATCGAACTGTGTTCACACACCGGACCGCATGCTTTTCTATTGCTACGGATCATTGTTTGCTGCTCTACACAACGAATTCTTTTATTCATTTTACTTTTACTTCTCTTTATTTCTAAAAAAAAAAAAAAAAAAAAATTTATTTCGAAACATTGAGAATGTATTCTACTTCTTATTTTTATTTTCACGATTAAAACTAATTATAACTTTTAACATATTGATTTAATATAAACGAATCCACAATACAATTTACTAATTTCTTACGACGATACTATTGCATTTATAACGATTAATATAGATCAGACATGCTATTGGTATACAATGTTTCGTTTCCAATCACGAAAGAACACGAATCTTAATAACTTTTAATCGTTTAACTATATACGGCACTGTATTGCAACGATGTCGGTAACATCAATGTTCGATTTTACCGAGGCATTTTATCGCTTTCCGCTCTATCGGTAAAGTCGAGAGAACGCGAACGCACGCATTAAAATTCTTCATGAATTTTCTTATCTCGCTCGTTCTGGAGTTATACGATAATAGTATACGCTACACATTTCATCGATTTGATTCATTCATAAATCCAATGTGATATAAACGAGAAACGAAATACGCCGCTTGAAAAATCCTAAAACGATATTTTCTTCTCCCAAATGAATATATATATATATATATATGTACATAAACAATCCGATAAGAAATGTTTACGTCAATGATTATAGGAAAATATGACATATGATATTGAATAATCCGCGACAAAAGATCTATGTATTATTTTATAATATTTAATGTAATTCTTGATTTTGTATTAGAAAAGACAAAATCAAAATTAAATAATGTAATATTATTTAATAATTAAAACTAATGTCGTAATTTGCCGTTGCTTTTCTTGTAGATGATAATTTTTCTACAATGAAATTGTTCGAACAACGTTGCACAAGTAGATAATTAAATTCTCCCTCTACTCGCAAACATATCAAAATTCTATCATAGAAATGAAATATAGTGAAATAACGATATTCAACTGGTTTAATGGACATTTAGAAGATTTCATTTTTTTTCTCGATTTTACGAAGATCTGAAATCACAATTTTTGCTTTTTTCCCATCCCATTGCGAATCATCTATTGGTCTATGCCGTTGAAACCGTAAAAAAAGAAAAAAAAAGAAACTAAGGAAAGAAAAAAGAGGAAAGAGAGAGAGAAAAAAAAGAAAAAAATAAGGAAAGAAGAAAAAAGAGGAAAGAGAGAGAAAAAAAAAGCATAAACGATGTTTCTTTGTCAAATAACATGAGTCACCAATAACTATCGTCTTATCTTTCGCATTTTTATTTCATTTTCCATTTGGTCTGCCATACCTAGCGCGTTTGTTTTTCCGTATTTTCCCCGACTACCTCTCGTAATATATTAACCGCATCTAATTTGCATTTTACATTAATTCTTACATTCTACATTAATTTTACAGTATGTTGCAACAAAGGAAAAAAAAAGAAAAAAAAAAGAAAGAACAAAAAAAAAAGGAAGAAAAAAATAAAAAGGAAAAAGAACAAAAAAATGAATGAACTCATCTACTTACGTTCTTTCTCTCTCTCTCTCTCTCTCTCTCTCTCTCTCTCTCTCTCTCTCTCTCTCTCTCTTTCTCTAACTCTTTTGTTAATCATCAAAAACGTTTTCCATGTAAATAAATAATATAATATAATATAAAAGTAATACGCATATTTTCACTTAATGCAATAAAAAAATCGTAAATTAATTCAACGAAATATTTGTCTCGTCTGAACGACCGGCCAGACTAGACGACAATTTACCCTCGCATTTACCCTCCCGATAAAAACGTTGAGTCATCGAACTCGACCCATCCCTTCGTACTCGAGAGAACAGAAGTCGTCTCGATGTACGAAGGGTTCTACGATCT